ATATATATATATATATAATGTATAATATGTATATGTATAATGTATATCAATGGCTGAAAGAGGAAATAAAGAAGTTGTGGACAGTCAAGTATCAGTGGTCATTAGAGCACTCAGTGCCATAACTCCCAAACAGGTAGAGTGGCTCCAACAGATCCCAGGAATACTCATATAGATTACAGTATATCGTTTCAGTTAACTGGCATATGCTATACCACGGTTTTCAAACTGTAGTGTGACATTTCCTGGTATAATACAGTACTTTTTTTTTTAAATCTGGTCTCTCTTTTAAATGAGTCCTCGAGGCTCAATGGGATTTATCTGTCTAAATAAATAAAGGTTGAATGAATGAACTAAACTAATGTTTTAATTGGGAAGAAAAAGAAAACCAAGGCAAGTTTAGCGTCTTACCCTGCACTGCTTCTGACTGGGTTGAACTTCAGAAATCAGATGACTCATCGCTCATGAGGAACAATGATTAGTTAGAAGGAGGCAGTCAATAATAATAATAATAATAATAATAATAATAACTTTTATTTATAATGCACTTTACATTCACAGTGAATCTCAAAGTGCTACAAAGAGTGAACATCAGATAGCAGCAGGATAAAAGCAACCATAAAAGCAACCGAGAGCAAAACAACCAGGAGGATAACGCCTCAGAATGAACACATCAAAAAAACTTAAAATGCATAATATGCAGAAAAAATACTCAAATAAGAACTATGGGTGAATTAAAAAAAAAAAAAAAGTACAGTGCAATCAATTAAAAAACTGGGTATAAAGAAATGTTTTAAGACCCTTTTTAAAACATGTCACGGTCTGTGGAGCCCTCAGATATGAAGGCAGGGCGTTCCACAGCCAAGGGGCAGCGCAGGAGAAAGCCCGGTCTCCTGTTGTGCAGGATCGAGACCTGGGAGTGAGAAGAAGATGTGTGTTGGAAGAGCGGAGAGTGCGTGAAGGACAATGAGGGGTGAGAAGTTCTTTTAAATAAGATGGTGCATTACCGTACAAGCATTGGAAGGTGAGCAGATAAATTTTGTAAGTGATCCGGGCAGAAACAGGAAGCCAGTGAAGTGAACGGAGTACAGGGGTGATGTGCTCATGCTTACGCACTCTCATCAGGACCCTGGCAGCGCTGTTCTGGACATACTGTAGTTTCTGTATGTTCTTGCCAGGAATCCCAATGAGGAGAGCATTACAGTAGTCCAGTCTGGAAGAGACAAAGGCATGGATGAGCTTTTCTGCATCGGTGAAGGACAGTGTAGACCGAAGCTTTGCAATATTTCGAAGATGAAAAAAAGAAGTTTTACATATATGCTTTATATGGCTTTCAAAGGTGAGTTGTGAATCAAAAATAACACCAAGATTGGTAACTGTATTGGAAAGAGAAATGTTCTGGCCAGAGAAAGAGATACTGAGGATTTTTTGTTGTTGAATTTGGTATGAAGTACCAATTTGAATTGCTTCCGTTTTTGAACTGTTAAGGTGAAGGAAATTTTGCTGCATCCATGCCTTTATCTCTTCCAGACAAGCTGTGAGTGTGGAAAGAGAAGAAAGTGGAGAAAATGGAGAAGCAGAAGATGATGTAGATGGGGTCTCAGACACATTGCTACCCAGCTTAAGATACAGCTGAGTATCATCAGCATAGCAATGGAATGACACCCCATAGCTGCTGATAATACACCCAAGTGGTACCATGTACACGTTGAAAAGAAGGGGTCCCAGGACTGATCCCTGGGGCACACCACAAGAAACAGGATGGCTCAATGACTTGGCACGCCCAATGGAGATAAACTCTGTTCTGTCCATCAGGTATGATTGGAACCACTCCAGGGCAGTGCCAGTGAGACCTGCAAAATGCTGTAAACGGTGGAGTAGGATGTAATGATCCACCGTGTCAAAGGCAGCCGAAAGATCGAGAAGAATAAGGAGAGAAGAGGAACCACGATCAGCATTGATCAACAGGTCATTTGTGACCCGGATCAGAGCTGTTTCAGTGCTATGAGCAGTACGGAAGCCTGATTGAAATTTGTCCAGTATCCTATTGTCATGTAGATGTTCTTGTAGATGAACTGAGACTAATTTCTCCATAACTTTAGCGATGAAGGGAAGGTTGGAAATGGGTCTGTAGTTTGCCAAGTCATGAGGATCAAGGGTAGGTTTTTTTGAGAAGTGGTTTAATTATGGCTGATTTCAGGGCAGGGGGAATATGACCATATTGAAGGGATTGATTAACTATGGTGGTGATAAGAGGACTTAGAAAGGCAATATTAGCCTTGACTAGGGCTGTTGGGAAGGGATCAAGAGCACATGTGGACGGTTTCATAGCCATGACAGTGGCTTCAACTTCCTTCACACAGACCTCTGGGAAAGAACAGAAGGGGCGAGGGTTCCCAGGCTGTACATTTGCAGCTGGAGAGAGGGCAGGGGGTGAAATGGTGATGGCTGATCGGATTTTTTGGATCTTGTTTTGGAAAAAGGAGATAAAGTTGTTACAAAGATCATTAGTGGGGTCATTGAGTGATGTTGTTTGTGGTTGAATGAGGTGAGTGATGGTTGAAAAAAGTATTTTTGGAGTTACCAGGGTTATTAGAGATT